ACGGCTTCTGTCATGCTTTCCGCTATATGATGATCTTTTCACACAGGGCTATTGTAGTTTGACTATCGGCTATACTGATCTTGCACAGTTACAGAGTCGGTTTTAATGCACACTTCGCGACAATGCACCCATACTTCTCTGGATCTGAGAGCAGAAGCTAATTGAGAGGGTGTGCGGCATCACAAAGCGTGATTCATCACAGAGAAGTTTGCCATTGAGCCTATTAATTGCACATTGCCACACCATGTTTGCTCCTCGTGATGCTGTTGCAAAGCTTTCTATGGCTACTTAACCGAAATTGCAGAAATGCCCAAGTCAGGAGTCTTAAAGGAGATTTAAAAGGGGGGGGAGGGGAGGAAGAGAAGGGATTCATTTGGATTGCCTCTATGCTAAACAAACTTCCTGTTTCAGTCTGGTCAGATTCTTTGTTGTAAGGACATGCGAGTCCAGTAATGTGTCACAGGGATGCAGACCAACCATAGGAGAAAAGAGAATGCAGTGATGGAAGGGTATTGCGACCCACAAACCTGGGGGCAATGCATTGTTCAAGGGAGGACTCTGCCTTTGTGGTAAGAAGTGCCAGGATCTTCTTCCGGACCCAGAGGACACCACCCTGCTACCTTCATCTGATTCAGAGGAGCAGTCTGACACAGGACCCTTTAGTCCCCTGCTCCATAGGAGCCAAAGACTGCAAAATAAGGTGAGGATCCCTTAACAGCTAGTCAGCTCCTCTGGGGCAGTGGGGCTGACTACACCACAGGGCCAGTCAACATATACAGTGGTATCTTGGTTCTCGAATGGCTTAGTTGTCGAACAAATCAGCTCCCGAATGGCACAAACCCAGAAGTAAGTGTTCCGGTTTGTGAACGTTTTTCAGAAGCCAAACGTCCAACGCGGCTTCCAATTGAGTGCAGGAAGCTCCTGCAGCCAATTGGAAGCCGCACTTTGGTTTTCGAGTGGTTTCAGGAGCCGAATCCAGAAGTGGATTAAGTTCGAGAACCAAGGTACCACTGTACATAAGGCTTCAGCTGGATCTATTTGCTTATAGATCAACAGTTTTTATAGCATAGCTGCCTTCTCAGGATGCTGGGAGTTCTCCAAGGTCCTGAGGGTACTCTGGGTGCATTGGATTCTTCCTCTGAATTATTGCCTTGACTCAGGCTACTGATTCAGTCTCTTGACATGACACTTCTGGGCTTCCCCACTAGTTTGAGCACTCATAGAACAGGATAAAGAGTGCGGAAATAACTAGGTGTCACTGATGTCATGTGATGCTGGATTAATGTTCCTCCATGAAGTATGGTTGCTTATTGCAGGCCCAGTGGCAAAGCATATACAGGTTTAGTTCCTAGTATTCCTAGTTAAAACAGAATGATCTTACTGTTGTTGTTTTTAGGGGGAGCAGCAGTAGCACATGTATTTCATTTTCCCCCTATACAATTCCACAGTTTTAGTGCTGGTCTGGAGCACTGCAGGTGGGGGACTCCCCCCAAAAAAACTGATGGTGGTGGGAATTTGAAGGAGATTCTACAAAGCGTCTTCTCTTTTGGGGGTATAGGGTTGGGTTACAAAATGAAAATCTCATTGGTCAAATCCTCAGAAAAATGTCTCCTGAGAAATTTTGGCTCAGGTCTAGTTTTATTCATGTAGGAAATGGCAGCATATAGAAGAGCCTACTGGCCTCAGTTAATTCATAGTCTCCAATTCCACATTGGTGATGGAAAGCCCCATAGCCAGACCTGAGCGCAACAGTACTCTTTCCACTTACAATTCCCAGCAACTAGGTATGTACATCTGACAGTAGAGGTAAGCCATGCCCTCATCATTAGTAGCCACTGAGAGATAGCTTTACCTTCCATGAAGGATAAGAAGAGCAGGTGACATTATCAAATTCCATAACGATATAGATCTTGAATATGCATCTTAGTGCTCCTTGGTACCACTTGTGATCACATCATTACACCTGCCTCCTCCCACCCTTGTTGTACAAGGCTGTTCCACCCCTTCTGCCTACTCAAACGAAGCCATTCCAGTAGTGAAAAGATGGGCAGAAATCACCTGTGAAAGGTAATGTGTATGCCCTATCCAATTAATCTAAGAATATATGGAGCAACGATTTTCAGAAGATTAGTGGGTGCATATTGAAGGGTCAAATAATAACTCAAAATAGGGGGGGGGATGCCAATAAGAATGCAATAAAAAAGGCAAATAGAATAATCTCACTAATCTTACTTACCTACAGAATAATCTAATATGAGTCCTTATTGGCCTAGCCTCTGCGGTGCTTTCCATCAGCTGAAGAAAAGAAGCAGAGAAGTAGATGGATTTAAAGATTTCTTGACCCTAAGCCTCACAGACATGGTTTCGATTAAATTTAATTACTGCCTCCTGCCGCTTTAAATTGAAGGCTGTTTCAAAACACATGTAGATGCTATTTGCAAGGCAGCTTGCAGGCTTGAAGTACCTGGAAACATGTAACGACAAAACAAGGGAAGATTCCATTTGGCTGATCCTGCTGGTATAATGGAAATAACACTTTCCTTATGCATTGATCTAATTTGTGAGAATAGCAAGAGATGGCACAGGTTTGCCTGAAAGATCTATAATCATGGGCCTATCTTTTTCTTTTTTAAAAATAAAGGAAGCAGAGATTGTTACATCAGGCTTATTTTTACCAAGATAACAATCTCTGACTACATACACAAGGAATTCTAGCATGCTCCAGGAACACCTCCTTAATGGCTTTCTTGGGTCATGCAGAGTGCATTGGTTAAGCCCCTTGATTAAGAACCTGTGATACTCAGGTACCGGTAGATATCCTTGATCATTTGCCATGCTGGTTGGGGCTGATGGGAGTACAGCAACATCTGGAAGGTCCCTGTTAAAGGAAACACCTTATACTAACTAAAACCAACTACAGTGGTACCTCGGTTTAAGAACAGTCCAGTTTAAGAACGATTCGGTTTACAAACTCCACAAAACCGGAAATAGTGTCCCGGTTTGAGAACTTTACCTCAGTCTAAGAAAGGAATCCAAACAGTGGAAGGGCACCGGTGGTGGGAGGCCTCATTAGGGAAAGCGCGCCTCGGTTTAAGAACAGTTTTGGGAAGATTGGGAACCGTTTTCGGCTTATTTACAGAAGCAATGCAAAGAACTGGACTCACTAGCAGGTTATGACTAAACACTTACAAGTAACAAAATTTCTATAAATAAGATTAGATGTACAAAAAATGAAGGTAAAGAAAATATGCAGGAATTGATATTATGTTAAAATAAACCAGAGAAGGAGGTTGAGGGAAGTCCGGGGGAGGGGATAATTTGAGATTTGAGAATTGTGATTTTTGTTATAATGTAACATTGGAAAAATGGAAAATTTAATTTTTTTTTTTAAGGAATGGATTAAGTTCGTAAATCAAGGTACCACTGTATTTGCTTATCTAACCCAATATTGTCAACTTCAGCTGGCAGCAGCGCTCCCAGGTCTTAACAGAGGTCTTTCATATTATCAGCTCCCTGATCTGGAGATGCCAGGAATTGAACCCTAAGACATGATAATTTGCGCATGATAATTTGTGCACTGCCACTGAGTTGCAGCCCTTCCTCTGTAACTGTGGGGATTCTACCTAGAAAGAATAAGAACATGATGCAGGGATGGTGAACCTGTGGACTATGTCCACAGCCTAACAGCACCTGAAGAGTCACAGGTTTTCGACTCCTGACTGTGACCCCATATCATACCACTTTAAACAGTCACGGCTTCCCTATTCACCTCCTGGGAGAAATACTCTCGGAATGGGCCCTCTTCTATGTCAGTGTAGGCAGAGTCCAAGGAGATGGACAGCTGGCCTAGCCAGGCTTTTAATTTCCCACAATGCCTCACATCTATGTTCACAGTCATTGTGGGATGTCAAAAGGCTGACTGGAGTTTAGGTACCCATCATCAGTGGCCTCTGGCAGCTGCCCAAGGATATTAAGGGCTGGTTCCAGCTGTGCCTCACAGGACAACACAGGTAGGTCTCTGCTCCCAAGGAGCTTACAACTGAAAGTAGAAAGTGAGGGGAAACAGTTAATGAACGCTAAGGATATCTGAATGAGTTTATATATTAGGCCAAAAATACTCATAGAAATACTTAGAAATAAGTTAGCTTTGATGTTCTGTTGCTCCAGACCTTGCATGTACTTAAGATGGGTGAATATTTTTTTTTTAAAAAAAATGTAATTCCAGCCTTTATGAGACTGTTTGTTATTTTTCTACAGATGCGGAAAATGAAATGTTAAAAGAAAAGAAAGAAAAGAAATTGTGGCCCAATAACTAGGCTCCACATGCAGCATCATTTTAAATGTTCTGCTTCTCAGGCAATGAACAAATGTTTTTAGAATTAGTTATTGCCAAGCACATGGACCTATTCCAAGAGAAAAATTAAACAGGAAAAATAAGGATTGACTGCTAACAGCAGCCATATTCTCTGACAGCAACCACATGGCGTGTCCTGGTGTCATGTTGGCCAGCTTCTTCAAACTTTTTGTTGCTGTTGTTTAGTCATGTCCGACTCTTCGTGACCCCATGGACCACAGCACGCCAGGCACTCCTGTCTTCCACTGCCTTCCAGAGTTTAGTCAAACTCCTATTAGTAGCTTCGAGAACATTGTCCAACCATCTCGTCCTCTGTCGTCCCCTTCTCCTTGTGCCCAAAGTAACTTTTTAGCCCAAAGTAACTTTGGAAGTGTAACCCATGTGTGCTTCACAACAGCCAGTGTAGTGTAGTGTAGTGTAGTGTAGTGTAGTGTAGTGTAGTGTAGTAGTTACAGTGTTGGACTAGGACCTTGTGGTTCTGAACCTTTTCCAGCTCTATAATATCCTTTTTGAGTCAAGGTGACCAGTACTGTACAGTTCCCAAAGAGGTTGTACCAAAGATTTGTATAGTGGTGTTTTGATATTTGCAATATTTATTGACAATGTCTTCTAACGATCACTAACACGGGATGTGCCTTTTTCACAGCTACTACACACCGGATCAACATCTTCATTGATCTATCTGCTACAACCCCAAGGTCTGGTTCCTAGTCAACTACCACCCGTACAGACCCTTTAAACATATATGTGAAAATTATTTATTTTTCCCTTTTTTTGCTCCGGTGTGCCTCACTTTACATTTGGTTTCATGGAATTGCATTTGCCATTTTACTGCCTATTTAAATTGGCTTGGAGAGAACCTGTTTGAAGCTCTTCACAGTCTTTTTGTTTTAACTCTCCAGAACAATTTGTATCATTAGCAAACTTGGCTACCCAAATCCTTTAGGAACAAGTTAAAAAACATAGGGCTCAGCACCAATCCTTGGGGATTTCTCCTTTCCACATACCTCCATTGGGAGAACTGTCCATTATTTAAGATCTTTGCTTCCTTTTTCTTAACCAGGTACTGATCCACAAGAGGACCTCTCCTTTTAGAGTGTCAGACTCTTCCCAGTATACCACAGTGACCTTCTAACATCTCTCCAGATGAGAGTTTCAGAACTACTGTCCAATACAAATGATGGCTGAGAAGATTTCTTTCATTATGTTTTATTGGCATATTTTCCACCCTTAGCTATCAGCATAGGAGTTCTCTCCTTCATCCATTGATTTGTCTGAGCAAAACTGTACCCGCCCAGAAGGGATTTTAGGGAAGAATCTAAATGAGATAACCTTTATTTAAGCAGAACCATCATTCTGTTCATTTAGCATGACATTCATACAACACCAGCTGTATTTCTCATCATACTGTTTGGTCGTCGGACAAGATTTCTCTCCAAAGCCACAACAAAGAATGCTTCAGGGATCTGCTCTGGGGAAGATTCATAGTAAAGCAGCCAAAATCTGGTTTGCAGCCAGTTCTCCAAAGTACTTTACTGTATCTTCATATCCATTCTTTGTTTCTTGTCATCCAGAAGTGTCAGGATTTAGTACAAACGTAGAAGTTTGTTTTTCCTTTGTTGTGGAACTTTAAAATTTGAAATCACAAATCGGAGAACCACATTCTCAGAGCAGATGTTTTAAAAACATAGCTTTCCAGCTTTCCTTATATCCGTGTTGCAAAGCAACCGGCCTCCAATTCTCTGCATGCTTCCCTGGGAGTAAGCTCTACTCATAAATGGTACTGAGCATCCTCAGAAATATGCATTTGAGAACCAGCATGTGAGAGTTGCCACAATTTTAATAGACACTGCTCCTGTGCCTTAACAGCGTCTTGATCAGCATGTATTTGCATCTGATAATGCTGATCACAAAGGCGCAAGAGATTGCTTCTCTTCTGAGCAGTTGGCAACCCATCCTTTGCTTATTCCCTTTGGCAATGACTTTTAAGATGTCATACATGCAGTGGCCCCAAACCACTAAAATTAAAGGCATTTATATAAGCAATGGGTGACACCTCCCTGTTGACATCAGAAACATTATTTTCTTTTGCTGGGCATTGCCTTTAAGAAGTTGCAAAATGTTGAAAGCTTTTGCTTGTATTCCAAAGAAGACAAAAAAATTCAAATCATTCATTCCCTGCTTTGATGTGCAGATTGTGGGGAAATAATTATTGGGGGGGGGGAGAGAAGTTCACCCCTGACAGAAGACCCTGTGCTGCTGCTGTTGTTGTGTATTAAATTTGTCTACCATCCTTCATCCGTAGATCTCAGGGTGGTTCACAGCATAAAAATACAAGACAGAAACACAAAATACATAATAAAAGCAAGAACAAAAGCAAACCAAACCAATAAGTCTTCCCCACCCCATCCATGGACTGAAGACAGAAATGCCCTGTAGACATTTGGGCTGTTCCACCAATTTCCAACTTGCACCAATTTGCAAAGGAATCTGTGCCCCACCCAGATGTTATTTGTCCCTCCGCTTCCACCTGGGAAACCAGCTGTTTTGGAAAAATGTCAATCAGGTTTGCTGCAGAACATTGGTTCCGATTCAGTGGCAAACCATGGGTTTTCCCCAAGGACAGTAGTGGGGCAAACGAAAAACCTCTCAGCCCTATGCTTAGAAAACATGGGACAACCAGAGGTGCATATGAGCCCATTGTCAGTCTCCAACTCCTATCATCACCAGCCAATATGATAGGAGCTGTAGTCCAGCAACATCTGGAAGACCACAGGCTCCTCATTCTTGTCCTACACTGACAGAAAATGGTTCACAGCAAGTGAGCTAGCCTGAATCTTTTATGGCAAGGAGGATGTTTACTAGAAAAACAACCACCTCAAATAAGTCTGAGGAAGGGATTTGCATTGGAGATATTTTAAAAGTATCATAGTGCATCCCATTGCAGACAGATGAGCTCCTGCAAAATCAGACCCCCTTCTGTCACCTTTCTGTTATGAAAGCCTGCTGTTTGTTGCCTGTCGAGAGCTAACACTCTTTCTGCTGCTTTCCTTTTGAGGACAAAAATATGACAGCTGTAGCTTGCAAAGGAATTGCCATCTGCATGCATTAGACTAAGCCAATTTAATTCAGGATAATGGGACTTTCCAAGCCTTCAAAGCTGAAGGCAAAAAAGGAAAAAGGAATATATTCCACTTTGGTTCTACAGATCCTATCCTGAGCAAGGCCCCCTTTCCCCTCTCCTGCCCCTCTGTCTCCTGAAAATTATTGCAGCAATAAGCAAGTATCAATATTAGTATGTCAGTCTTAGGAAAACATGTCCTGAAATTGAGTTTGAATACAAATCCTGGAAAGGAAATAGCAAAAGGCAGGTAAAAGTCATCTGTCATTGCTGGAGCACTTTGAAAATCTATAGCTTTCAGCATGGCAGTTGTATTTAAAGATATGGGCGAGGAAATAAATGATAGAGGCACAGAGAAATTGGCACAGGAACTATTTTGAGCTTCAGATTAAAAGGGGGAATCTGATTTCCTCAAATGAGCCCCTCTATATTTGTTTTTCAGAATATAAATTATGTCAATAACTGAATCACTATATGGATTCTCTTGTTAACAGGACCAGAACTCCAGAGGAAATGAAAGCAGTGGTGGGGAGGTGGCCCAAGGATGGCATAGGAATTCATTTCAGATCACATTTTAATGCAAATCTACTTAATATTCACTTTCTGAAACAATACCTGAACTAAAACACAGCTATCCTTTGAAATTGACACTTCTCTGAACATTGCAGGGTATTTCTCTAGCAAAACAAACAAAACAATGTGCATATTGGAGCAAAGTGTGCAAAAAATGCATATATTATTATTATTATTATACCCACCACTATATCATGTGTTTAAAGCCCTAAACAGCTTAAACCCCAGATATCTGAGAGACCGCCTCCTTCCCTACATACCTTCTCAGGTGTTATGATCAGCAGAGGGGGCCCTTTGAGTTGTTGCACCTCCCTCAGAAGTTGGGGGGAGATAACTTCAGAGAAGGCTTCTCTGTGGCAGCCCCTAAGTAGTGGAACTCCCTCCCGTCAGTGGCGCGTCAGGCACCTTCACAGCTTTTGGTGAGGGCTTGCCCTGGTTTAACTGTTTTTAAACATGATTTTGGTAAGGGTTGAGGCTGGTTTCACAATTTTTAATAGTAGTTTTTTTAAATTCTTGCAACCCACCCTGGGCCCTGCTGTAAGGGGAGGGCAATAAATGTAATACTAATAACTAGTGATATTTTTCTAGAAAAAGAGGTGCCGGAACTCACCATGAATGCCTGCCTCATTCTCTTAGAATGGCAACGGCGTCCATCTGAGAGATGCTGGAACTCAGCCCCAGCAAGTTCCGGCTGAGAAAAAAAAAAGCCCTGCTAATAACAGTAACAACAAAAACAGTGGACTTCAGATTGGAGGTGGGGGAGAGATGAGAAACTGAGATAAATTGAAATTGACTGGTTTATCCATCCCTGGGGATACCAATAGTTTGCTATTCATGGCTTGAGAATTTCAGCTCTTGGTTTAAAATAGACGTTCCCAACCGTCACAGTTTTGGAGAAAAGCCTGAAATAGGAGGAAGGCCATGCCTGAGCTAATCGAAGAAATTTTGTCACACCAAAGAGATGCATTATACCATTCCAAAACTGTGACTTAGGATCCTTTTCGAAATGTCACATACATTGCTGGGGCACAACTTTTAAATTGTACACAGCTGTGTGCAATCTGATTCTTTGGGGAAATGTACAGGCTTTATGGAACCACAGAATCCAGCACATAAGCAGGTAGGCCTGGTCCTCAGAGAAGCATATGCACTTTGAAATTGGCACCCAGCCATATGCAAAAATGCTGCTGTTCAGCTTCTTGGCGCACAGATTCCCAAGCTGCCCTTGACTAGTCAGTAGGTCCAGCCCTACCATGAGACAGAGTGAGGCAGCTCCCTCAAGCAGCAGATGCCGAGGGCTGGCCAGAAACTCCCACTATTCCCACTGAAACTTCTAATTTGTCTACCCTAAGCTTGCCCACTGTTCCCAGGTGTGGCAAAGGATGCTGTCCTGCTGCCAGTGCTGAAGTAAGACTCACTTGCTAATCTAGCTGGATACTGCATAAGGCTATAGGATCATAGAAAGAGCCCTGCTGGATCAAGGTTGAAGAGCCATCTGGCCCAGCATTCTGATCTCACAGTGACCAACCAGGCTGAAAGCAGGACCTCACAGTGCAACTGCATATGAAATGGAAGGGCACCACCTTTTCCTTTGTGTCAAGTAGCAAGGCCTCTTGGGTCAACCCGGCTAATCAGTTTCAGTCCCCTAGAGATAGGTGCAAAGATCATTCCAGGTGCTTCAGAGAAAGAGCAACTAAGTAGTCCATCCACATGTTGTTCCTCAACAATGATCAGCCTTTACTAAAGCTCCAAAGGCAGCATCCCACTTTTCCAAGGTGGCATTGGTGCTGTTCAAGTTGTCTGCTTCTGTATAATACAAAAAGATTCTGAAGAATCACCTTAGCCCCCAATTACCAGAGAAGTTTCAGAATGGAGACGAGTAAAAATTCTCATAAAGAATTCAGAGGATGTGGCTTTCAGTGACTTGAGCAGAATAATTTTTGGGAGGGATGGAATGCTCATTGCATTCTGCTTGTGGTGCTCTGCGCAGGGAGTTATCCTTATCTTTAAATGAACAAATGCTG